AATGTAAGTGGCTATTGTTCGGGACGAACAATACTAAGGAAGGGGCAGTGTTACGACAGCGAAAGTCACGTGACGCTGGTAACACGTCATGAGCTTCTAGAAAATTCATGTCCCTTCGTGAAGCCTCGAGTCTTTACTAGATATGCGGTATTCTTGTATATAAGACCGCCAAGAAGTGACGGCAACAATGGAATTGAATTGCAGACAGAGATAGAGACGGACAGTTGAGTCAAGCGCGTGAGTCGTTCGTTGTGAATTATAGCTTTTGTTATAGCGTGACTGTGGAAATTAAGTGTATTGCAAAGTTGTATTGAGGAAGAATAAACTAGTTTTATTTAAGAAAGGACTTGTATCGATAAAGTTTCTTCGGAAAGAATTTTTACGGAAAATTAACAAACGAACAGAGACGTAACAGTATGTTGGACAAACCCAAACGGCTATTTGAAAGGCCCCCCAGTGGCACAGCGGTATGTTTGCGGATTTACAACGCTAGAAACCGAGTTTCGATACCCGTAGTGGGCAGAGCACAGATAGCTCTTTGTGTAGCTTTGTTCTTAACTTCAAACAAACAAACTATTATAAAGTGTTTAAACAACCTTAGATCTTCTCTTAATACTAATAACACGTTGTTCTAGGTTTAGATCTAAAGCTGAGAGAAAATGAAAAGAAGCTTATTGGATTGTTACTTTGAATACAGATCGTTCCGTTGGGATTTATCATGATTCCGAAACCAGTGATCCTCGGCTTTGAATCTGTTCTTAGGCCTGTCATGATCTGTTGGTTAGGTTTTGAATTGGAAAACACAGTTATCTACTGTTTGGTTTGTTTTGAATTTCGCGCAAAGCTACACGAGGGCTATCTGCGCCAGCCGTCCCTAGTTTAGCAGTGTGAGACTAGAGGGAAGGCAGCTAGTCATCACCGCCAACTCTTGGGCTACTCTTTTACCAACGAATAGTGGGATTGACCGTCACATTATAACGCCATCACGGCTGAAAGGGCGAGCATGTTTGGTGTGATGGGGATACGAACCCGCGACCCTGAGATTGCGAGTCGAGCTCCATAACCACCTGGCCATGCCGGGCCCCCGTTGGTTAGGGTGATCGAGTCGCAATTAGAGGGTCGCGGGATCGAAATCAATCACCAAACATGTCCTCCATTTCAGCCGTGGAGGCATAATAATTTGACGATCAATCTCACTGTTCGATGGTAAAGAGAAGCCAAATATATTTCTTAAACTATTTCTTATTAGAGTCCTTGATACGTTGCAAGACAAAAGTGCTTCTGATGAAATTGTCCAGACGTTTTTATTTATTTTGTTATTCGATTATAAGCTATTCATTTGTCACCAGAGGACTCTAGTTGTCCTACGGATTTGTTTGTTTTTAAACGCACAGCTACACAATGGACTACATGCGTTGTGCCCATCATGGGTATCGAACACAATTTTTAAGGTATAAGCACTCAAGCTTGCCACTTATAAAAATATTATAAAGCAAAGACAATATTTTTTTATTGTGCACGGCCCAATGCTAAACTGTTCAAAGCGTTAAACTTGCTATGTAGCTTGGTTTAGCAGGTGGCGTCCATAAGCCCTTTCCCCAACTCTATCTTCACCTTTCAGTACTTCAGTAAATGTTAACATCATTTGGGAAGCGTAAAATTGCTTGAGAAAGGTTTAGGGAGAAAGGGTTATTTGGCCGAGTGAAGCGAGGAAATGTGCGCCCCAGAAGTACGGCCAGGGTCCAGGGCTTGCCTTAGAGCTCACGAAGCTCTTTGGCTCTGGGTTAAGTTTTATGCATTCTCCCGCCTTTCCTGAGAGCAATTTTCCTGATTTTGATCTAGGACAGATTGAAAAATAGAGAGACCGGGCCCCCTGGACATTCCCACTTACTATACCACTGCTTTAATCTACACATTGATCGACTGGATAACGTATTGTTAAATTAACGAAATTGAAACTTAACTTAAACGACATTCATTTTTTTTTGCCGTTAATATAAAATGTTTAGCACTGAGAATTCCAAGATTAGATATATACCTGTACATCAGAACTTCCGATCGCGTCTTTGGAAACTTTATTCCTTAGCACTTTGTCATTTGAATAGAAGAATTATCATAAAAAGCTCCCAATAAAAGTAAAGAAGAGACAGTGAAATAATCCACATACATTTTTTTTCCTTTGCCATTCTTTTTCATCACAAGAATGGTTCAAGTTGAAAGAGCGTATTCTTATCGTAACAGATGCAATGTGTATAATTATGTTCGGGCCTGCTATGATATTACGACGCCTAGCTACAATTGTTAATGAATACCTTTGAAGCTTTTTGGAAACACGAGACAACGTGAAACAACAGGTTCTGAAAGAACTGGATAATCCTTTCAGAACAATCAATTTCAAGGTCATTTCCAGAGCTTACGATGAGAGGCTCAAGAAAAACACCAAATTTTTACCTCAGCTAGTTTTTGCACTGAACACCAGGCTGCGAAGTTTGATGCCCAAGAATGTTTCCATCCAATAGTTAACGCATGAATCTCAGAATTGTACGTTCTATTTCAGCTAGTTTCTGTACCAGGATACGAGATTTGCTAATCGTGAAATCGTGACTTTTCTACATCCAATTTTAACGCATGAGATCTGAGAGTTTAATACTTGTATAATGCTCCAAGTTAGTGAAATTTAAAAGTTACATTAAGTTCATGAGAAGAACATAAATTTAATTCCTAAAACTTTTATGATAAAAATTAAATTCATGTTAAGGTCATATCAGTAGAAAAGTTTAAATAGTAACCATTTGCATTAAGAAATTATAGCTCAACAGTCTTGTTAAAAATTAAATTCATGTTAAGGTCATATCAGTAGAAAAGTTTAAATAGTAACCATTTGCATTAAGAAATTATAGCTCAACAGTCTTGTTTAGTTACTTCACTGGTGGAGAAAGGAACAAGCGTGATATCAAGGCTAGCGTATTGGGCTAGGGATCGGAGTTTGTGAGGATTGCTACTACAGGATAGCTAAATTTTATTGTGTAGAGATAAGGTGTCGTTGAGGGAACAAACCAATAACCCTTTACTGGGGTAACTCTACACCATTAACATTACTGAGGTAACTCTACACCATTACCTTTATTGGGGTAACTCTACACCATTAACTTTATTGGGGTAACTTTAAACCATTAACTTTATCGGTGTAACTCTAAACCATTACCCTTATTGGAGTAACTCTACATCATTAACTTTATTGGGGTAACTCTAAACCATTACCCTTATTGGAGTAACTCTACATCATTAACTTTATTGGGGTAACTCTACACCATTACCTTTATTGGGTAACTTTACATCATTACCTCTACCGGTATAACTCTACATCATTACCTCTACTGGTATAACTCTACATCATTACCTCTACTGGTGTAACTCTACATCATTACCTTTATTGGGTAATTCTACACCATTACCTTTATTGGGTAATTCTACACCATTACCTTTATTGGGTAATTCTACACCATTACCTTTATTGGGTAACTCTACATTATTAACTTTATTGGGTAACTCTACATTATTAACTTTA